AAAAACTAAATATTTATTGGAGCACAAAAAATAAAAATAAAAAAATAAAAAATAAAAAATAAAAAGAAAAGAAAAAGAGGAAAGGCTCATCAAAGTCTGGAACAGTCGCAGTGTTCCACTTTCTCTCTCTTTTTCTCTGTTTTCTGCTTCTCTCTCTGTTGCACAACTGTTCGCCCTAAATGGTCTGAATCCAAAATTCCAGAGCTTCAATTCACGCCCCAACTCTGCCGGAGCTCCGACAAATGACCTTTCTGCACTCACCTTCTTCCTCCCTCCTCCTCCATCTCCTTTGACTTTCTTTCTTCTTTCTTCTCTCCGCTCATGGACCCCACTGATGCCGACCTCGCCGATCCTTCTCATGCCCGTCTTTCCGTTTCCTCTGAACCTTCCTCCGCCTCCGCTGCTGGCGCCAAGTACAAGCTACTCTCTCCGGCTAAGCTCCCGATCTCCAGGTCCCCTTGCATTACCATCCCTCCCGGTCTCAGTCCCACTTCCTTTCTCGAGTCTCCCGTTTTGCTCACCAACTTGAAGGTAGGTCTGCTTCCTTTTCTTTCTCTTTGATTGTGTTCATTTTGTTTCCAATTTCTGGGATTTGGGGTGTTAGAACAAGGGTTTTGGAATTTGGGGAACGAGGGTTTCGATCGGATTTTGTTACTTTTTGTTCATTATTTAGTAACAGTGAGCGGTACTTTAGGTAAACGAGGTTTTGAAACTTGGAGTCTCTGAGTTTCTTTTGATTTCCTAGGCGTTGATGGGTTTGTGAAGATAACTGCAAAAATGCTTGAGATTATGGTCTCTTTGAAATAGCTTTCAATTTTGAACGGTTTTCTCTTCGTACTCTTCTTCAAATTTCTCTCAACTTGTATAGAATTGCTTTGCTTTGTGTTGTTGTTTGTGGTAACGATTGACGAATTCCAGATGAACAAATTGATAATTTATGATTTCCTATCACTGCTCCGTCCCCTTCTGGTTGAACAGAGGGTAGCTAGGGGTTGTTTGACGTCATATAGCTCTTATTTGAGCATTTGGTTCGTGGTATATGCTTAATTAGGGAATTTTAAAGAACATGACTGATGTGATTTAACACTATTGTTTAGTTGTCCAAGCCAAAATTCCTCTAACTATCTTTGTTGGTGCGCTTGTAGCTGTTAGACTTGCAAGCTCATGGCCATTAGATATTTTATTTGGGTGCTTGAGTGTCTGGGACCTGTTGATTCTGATTCCTGCTCTTAGAGCAGTCCTCTGCATTGGGTGGCTCCTTTATGCCCGTGTGCGTTATTCCATAAAATTGCTTTAGGGAATAATGCTGTTGTAAGTTTGAGGGAATAATTGTGTTCTCTTTCTAACTCTCAACCCTTATACTCTCATTTGCGTCAGTGTGGGTTTTTCACAAAATGAATCCACCTTTTCAGTGTTGCTTCAGCTTTTTATTCATCTTTGTTTCTCTTGTCACGATGCATGTACGAACCCGAACTTTTTCTATTTGTCTATATATATGGAATGAGTAAATGAATCTGGTTAGAGAAGCGTGTTGCTTTTGTGTAATATGCTTCCATGGCATGTAAAAGAGACTGACATGGTGAAGAATACAGATGGGCATAGACAGAGACACTTAGTTGATAGATAATATCTTTGATCACTTGGAGCTTATGGGTCTCTTTTATGCCGCTGTCTTTACGAGTCCACTTCGCTATGTATTTGCTCTGTTGAGATCGAAGAATGTCCTGCCTCCACCCTAGTGTTATATTCGATTAACATATGCGGTTAAGTTAGAGATCATCATTTTTGTTATGTTAGATGGTTGAGTTATATTGAAATACTTTTATGTGGAACAGTTTTCATAATAAAGAATCTATATTAGAATTGTCACCGCTGCTGCACGTTTCATGGCTTTTGTCTTATCAATGATACGAGGAAAGAAACTTTTATATTTCTTTTGGTTATGAATAATATTATCAATTTATGTTTTTTTTTACCTAACTTGCTTGCATAAATTAGCCGTCGTTGACAAGGCTTTTTGAAATAACTGTCATGTGCAGGTAGAGCCTTCTCCGACTACCGGGTCCTTTACTAAGCTTCCAATGGCACACGACTCCTCTAGCTCAGCTATTTATTCAATGACCACCATGGCTTTCTCAAATACGCATGCCTCAGACGAAGGAAGATCCAGCTATTTCGAGTTCAAACCTTATGCTGGACCGAATATGGTACTTCCATACTAAATTTTCAGTTTGTTAATTATTAGGGTAAATATATCAATGGTCACTAGGTAACTCTCAATATAGTTATTAATCTTTTTAATTTCACCCTCAATTTGCTCAAATTTCTGAAATTGTTAAAACTTGTTAACCATCAGCTTATGTATCCCTAAACTATGGTTTTAACTTGTCTAGACGCATGAACATGCCACTCAGATCTTACTTGACACATGAACCCAACTCACGCATTAGCTAAATCAAAATTTTCAAGTGGTGTAGCTAAATGTCATGCTCATGAGTGCAACTATGTTAACAAAACAATAATTTAATGACATTCAACTTTCTATATGAAAATATTTTTTTTGCTAACGTATTTAGTGTAATTATTATTACATTAGTCAAGAGGGATCGATATGTCTAGGTTATGGAGAAAATGTCAGAAAGTTGAAGTTTTGTCATGTCAGCTTCCACATGTACTTGGTAGAGCCTGGAATTATAGTTTAACCTAGTAATAAATTAGTAGTATTCTATCGATTTAGATGCTTTTTTCCTAATATTTTCATCTACTTTAAGGTTCCTGCAGATTTGAGTCATCGGAAAGGCGAACAATCCAGTGAAGTTCAAGTTCAGGGCCAACCTCAACCATTTACTGCTCTGCCCATGACTAAAAGTGAGATCAACGTCAATTCTAATGATTTGAGTCGGTCGACTCAGATGGATACAGTTGCCTCGAGGGCTACTGTTCCTGAAGTTGATGGAGACGATTTCAACCATAGTTTGAACACAAATACCAGGGTTCAGCCCCCACAATCTGATCCAAAAGCCAGTGGCATTCAAGTAGTTTCTGATAGGTTATCTGATGATGGATATAACTGGCGTAAGTATGGACAGAAGCATGTTAAAGGGAGTGAATTTCCGCGTAGCTATTATAAATGTACCCATCCTAACTGTGAAGTGAAAAAACTCTTCGAACGCTCTCACGATGGGCAGATAGTCGATATTATCTATAAAGGTACCCATGATCATCCTAAACCTCAGCCAAGTCGGCGATATTCTGCCAGTGCTTCTATGAATGTTCAAGAAGATGGGCCTGATAAGCCTTCACCTTTAACTGGTCAAGATGGTAGGGAACCAAACTTGTTTACTTAGTTTCAGTTTTTAGTATTTCAAAAGTCTAATCCTTCTACAGAGTTTTAAGTATGGTTGTTTTATCTATTATATTCTCATTTCAGACAGGTCCTGCATAATATATGCTCCGGTGGTGCGTACCATTGAGCCAAATGGAACTCCAGAACCATCCCATGCTGCTAACGATAGCATGGCCGAAGGCGTAGGAACAACTCTGCCACCCAGGAGTCATGATGAGGTTGACGATGATGACATATTCTCGAAGCGGAGGTGTATACTCATTTACAAGTTAAAATGTTCTCAAGTATTTTGCAAAATCGAAAATAGCACGTAGTGTTTTGTAGTACTGTTTATGAGTTAACTGTTAAAAATTCATCAGGAAAATGGAACTTGGAGGTTTTGATGTCTGCCCAATGGTTAAGCCGATCAGGGAACCACGTGTTGTGGTTCAAACTCTAAGCGAGGTTGATATACTGGATGATGGGTATCGCTGGCGTAAATACGGCCAGAAGGTAGTGAGAGGAAACCCGAACCCAAGGTATGTTTACTATCACACTCGTTAATAGTAATATACATTCAAGTCATAACGTTGTCATATATATCGCTCTGTTGATATTATTTGATAAAATCCATTAGAGCTTGCGTGCATAAAGATGTTCGAAAAAAATGATATGTTTGTACTAGCTCAATTCTTTTGCATTTGTATGTAAATTTTAGCTACAATAATACCATATAAATCAGTTAAAAACTCTCGAGAAGTCGAACGAGATGGAGTTTCCCAAGTTTTGTAGAAAATCGTTGTTATTAGTCATTCCTTATCTGTTGCGCGCCCTTCCAACTTGGCGGTTCTGTGTTCTGAATCTCTGATATGCAGGAGTTATTACAAGTGCACAAATGTTGGATGTCCTGTTAGAAAACATGTTGAAAGAGCATCCCATGACCCAAAAGCTGTAATAACTACATACGAGGGGAAACATAATCACGACGTTCCCACAGCAAAAACGAGTAGCCATGAGGTCCAAGGCTCATTGACAATTGCACCATCAAGGTATAGACTTGAAGAGAGTGACACCATAAGCCTTGATCTTGGCGTTGGCATTGGCGCCGGTGGTGAGAATAGATCGAACGAATACAGGCAGGCATTTCATTCCCAACTTGCTGAAAACCAAAATCCAAATGGCAATTTCAACTTCGAAATAGTTCAAGAAAACTCACCCCCAACCTATTTCGGTGTTCTCGATCGGGGTATAAGCCAGCACGGATCAAGAGAGAGTTTGAGCGAAAGCCGCACCATGTCGCTAAACCATTCCTCTCACCCATATCCTCCTAGCATTGAGAGAATACTAACAGGGCCATAAGTTTCAAGCTGTGAAAACAAAGATGCTGCTGTTTTTTTTTATCTCCTATATTGCTTTCTTTTCATGTGGATGATCTAGGACAGGACAAAAGTGAATATGTGGAATATTAGAGTTCTCTTATGTTGGGGCTAAGCCTTAGTTCTCAGTCAATACATGTAAAAATATGATATGAACCACCTGGTTTTATTTGTTTACACAGAAGATGTATCTTTACAATGTAATTCTAATACTGAAAATTCAAGTATTAGACAAGAACCCTTCTTGTTTTGCGTTATGATAGTATGCATATCAGTAACTATAGCAATCAGATTCTATAAACTCATAGAAAAGATCATCAATATTGCTTATCTTCATAGGTTGAAGTGGAAACTTACATTTTACAACTAAGAAGGTGTCATATCCAAGCACTAGAGGTAACCAGATTTTGATTCAACCAGCCAAGATATAGGGCTCCATCCCTTTCTTCTAGCGTGTACTTGTCACAGTAGTTCTTTAGCAGTGCTTCAATTGTAGCGTTGACAAAAGGGCTTAAAGGGTGTGGCTCAAACCCTGCCATGAGGAACCTTGATCTCCACTTTCCAAGAAGTTCATGACGTTCGACTCTTTCGGCTCCCTCACATGCCACTATATTAACGATGTCCCGAGCTAAACAGTGCTGCTCGACATTGATCCGCTCCTTGTGCTCTCTTGGAAGAGTCATATCTATGGACTCGAAAATGGCAGTATAATAGTTCAATGTTTGGAGAAAACGGGGAAAAAAGGGAGCTGTATTGTTGTTCGACTCTTGCTCGACAACGGTCACAACTTTTGGAGATAAGCTCTTGACGAGTCGCAGGATTCGATCCCGATGATTCGGACTGCCGACACTTTCATCTGTCATATGGTGCAGCACCAAGGCAAAATTCACAGCAATGGCCTCACCTGGTTGAACTTTTAGATCTTCTAGTTGAATTTCGGAAGCAGAGCCTGCAATTCCATGGAACTCAAAGGGTACCATCAATGACTCTGCCAAATTCGACAACCTTTTCGCTACAATCTCGACGCCCCCTCCTCGAGAAAATGCTGAAGTAGAATCATCTATCCCTGTGATAGTAATCTTTGGGGGCCCTCCAGGCCGATTCGCAAGAGCTTGCATCAATGTCATCCACTGATTTCCCTGACCTATCTGGAAATCAATTATGTGAACTCTATTTTCACCTTTTATGGCTTCAGCAATTGCCCCATTTGCTGATAGGTACCCGAACTTGAAATAAGGGCAAACTTCGTAGAGAATGTTCATGTATGAGAGCAATTCAGAGCCTATAGGCTCTTTACATCTTAGTGCCTTGTAGATAGTACTACCTGAAGAAGCTGTCCTTGCAACAAGTGCCTCTAACAAGTAAGCTCCTAAACGTTGGATTGGCTCACCCGAAACCGAGACCATTCCACGTAACTCAGATATCAACCATTCTCCAGCCAACATATCATTTTCTCCTATTGCTCGAGCACAAGCACAAAGCATCTCTTTCAAATCCCTTCTAGAGATTATCTCAGCCACATCTTTCCACCCTGCTTCTAGCTCAGATAACACAGGATTGACTGGATTAGAGACAGAATAGACATCAAACATCTCTGAATCTGGTCCAAGGATTGCAATCTCCAATTCCCTGATCTTGTGCCTCAAGTCATCATCAGCATCATCTGTTAAGCAAGATCTACTGACAGGCGAGCCACGGTTGTTGTCAGGAGAATAATACGGTTCTAACGGGTATGAATGGCACTCTTGGTGTGAAGGGCTTCCATTAGATGTGAAGCTAACAGTAGAAGAAGAATTTTGAGGTGGGTAACTGCTAGTTCCCAAGGACGACTCAAGGTTGCAATATGGGTTGAAAGCCTCAGATGGTAAGTGATTTTGGTTGATAGGAGGCCAGTAATAGGATCCAGGTTCTTGCTGTGGCTGTCCATAGAACCTGTGAGATTGATCTGAAACCTTCTTTCTTGAAGCTTCTTGCATTGAAGGTTATATTTCTAGCACAAGATTCACCCCAGAGCAATAACAGGACACTTTTGTGAAAAGAAAAATGATCTAAAACTTATTACAGACTCTCTTCTTTCGTCACCAAAATGTCTCTGTTACTTCAATACTCCAAGAACAATAGTTTCCTTTCAAAATTCTGAAGAAATGTGGCCTAAGACGCCCTATGTAACCTAACCAGAAAACAGAGAATGAAGGTAAGATATCATGGAAGAAGAACGTATAAGATTGAATTTCTGTGCTACCACAAAAGATTCTGAAGCATTGAAGATCCTTAAGCTATGTATTGTGATCAGATGTTAAAAGACATTGCAGATATTGAAGATATTCCTTATTAAGCTCACCGCAGATTCAAACAAGCAACCTCTAGGCGATTATGACGCCGGAATCCTAGCCAACAAGGCAGCCCTTAGGAGAAAGAAAAACTCGTTCTGTCTCCCTTTGATACACAAAATTTTAAACCCATCGACTTCATTCGAAGTAGAAAATGCATGGAAATGAGGGAAAATCTAGGTCTAACCAGCCAAAATCATGAAATGGCGTAGAAGCAGTCGAAAGCAAGACAAGATCTGAATATTTTCAAGCAAAAGCAACTAAAAAAAGAAGGAAAAGATCGAAAAGTGAATACCAATTGAATCAAAAAGGGGAAATCAGCAATCTGAGCTCAAAAATTCAATCCACAACTAAGATTTCAGTTGAGAAACAAGAGAAAGAAAAAAAGTTGAGAGAAGTAAAGAAGAAATACAATACCCAGAATCCATGGCCGGAGAGAAAGGTCATTGAGTTCATGAACTGGGATGAACCTTCACTTATCAACAATGGCGATCGATCCTATTTATTCTTTTTTTTTTAAATAATAAACCAATGTTCACATTTATTCATTTATTTATTTTGCTCTATAAAATTTTAAATATATATATATATATATATATTATTAAATAATTTATTAAAAATAGATGATAATATTAAAAGTAACTTTTTATATTAAAAAAATAGTGAAAAGGTTTAGACATTTAACTTAAATAACAATAATAATAAAATATCTAATTAATATCATTATAAAATTTTAAATTATATCAAAATTATTTATTATTATTGTTATATTACAAATACAAAAAATTGGTTAAATTAAAAATGTATTAAACATTGTGAATATTTCTTAACTAAATAATAATAATAATAATCTCACCCATTAAATTTTTAAAACTATTTTTATATTTTTATTAAATCCAAATTTTGGATTTTAAGTTTTAAAAAAATTATATTAAAATATTTTAAATTATAGTCATAATAATTATACAAAACTTATAATAAAATATGCTGATAAATTAATTGAAAATAATTTATTCTTAATTTTGTGTTGATTTATAAATATATGATAAAGTATTATTAGAATTTAAAATAATAATTATAGATTTAATACAAAACATAAAATTCAAATTGAAAAATGGATTAATATATTGTTTTAATTAAAAAGTTAATGAAAAAAAAAGCGTTCCCACGTGGGAAGTTGGTCCACACGTTTTTAGACAATAAAATTAATAGCGTACCAATCTTTTTTTATTTTCTCAATTTTCAACGTCATATATTTTATCGTATTATTTTATTTTGAAAGATGTTTGGACTATTATCGAAAAATTTCTTATTTATTTTTGTAGGATCGGGACAAAAATTTCCCGTAAAGAAGTTGTGGAGATCGAGTTTATCACGGATAATATGGTCTTTCGTTTAAGCGGGACAAGGACAGTGTAAAGCGGGAAATTGGGCAGGGACAGGGAATATAATCTCGTCTCTGACCTCATTTATTTAAGGGAAAAAATGTTCTTTACTCCCTCCCCATTTCTCATCTAAACGGGGAATCTTCTCCCTACTCGAGGCAGGTCCCCATAGAATCCTGCCCCTCTCCCGAATAATATAGACATCTTTAATTTAATCATTTATTTGTCTCCCGTTAATAACATAATAAATATAATATAGACATTTATTTTTCTCATTTTTTATTTATAATAATAATAATTATTATTATTTTTTAGCTTAAAAATGTTACAAAGGAGATGAATTATTAGAGCTAAATAAATGGTTATTAGTTATGGTTGTAGCTACCACAAAAATCATTAACCATGTCTCTTGTTGTACTATGTTGTCTCAACCAGACAACGTGTTCTTTCTTAAAATGGGAATGTCGTACTTATATGTTAACCTACTTAATTATTTAAGACAGGAAGTACATAAAATTAAATTCACGCTTTAAGCCCAGCACATGTGTTGTCTCAATAATCGAGACGTTGTGAACTCATTTTTTGTGTATGAACATTAAAAACGTTAACGTGTGTTATTTGTATGCCTTATTTATGTTAGCTTTGCTAGTTTTACCGGTTTGTTCGTCTATTTTTGTAGACATCGAGCAATTTGGAGCTATCTTAAATATTTTAGAAGAATTAGGAAAGTTAAAGGAGTTATTTGGACACAAATCGAGCAATCGTCTTAAGAGAAGATATAGCTAAGTAAAGAATCGTCTCAATAATCGTCTTGTAAGGGAACATATGGCCACATACTAACCGCCTAAGAAGAGGGTTCTCGATCGATTCCTAGGGTTCGATAGTCGTAGCTCAATGGATAGGAGAATGCAATAACTCATTCTCAACTCAACTAAGCCACCTACTACAACCGAGATGACTCGACCTTACCTAGTGACTCCTTCAAAAGGTTGATAGTACCAAGTCGAAATTGGTTAGGAATCGACCGTGATATATTGAAAGATGGATTAAGAAAAATAATATAAGAAAGAAAAATATTCTCCAACATTTGACCATATAACTCGATTTTGAAAATACTCTCCACAGATTAACCTCCATCGGACTATCAACCAAGGTGCAAAGGGCAAGCGACGCTCCATACAACGAGAAGTGACAACGCCATTATAACGACGACATCACCATCGCTGCATGCATCCCCAAAAATCATCCAATTAACAAACGTATCACCCTAACAAACGAACATATCAATTCATCGACAGGGTCAATCATGAGCTGACCCAGGACTCGTCTAATAGTCTTAGACCCACCTAATGTTATCAAACACTTAAGCTTTGAACAATCCAACCCTACGCCAAACAGCATACAAGGAATACATTGACCATTCACTCATTGAGCTTGAATGACAACCGAAGACTACACACAGTTGGCACTAGTTCCATAACAAGGATATGATACGATATGATACGATACCCGAACCTTGTAAAAGAGTTATAAATATTGGGAGTCCACCTTCACGAAAAGATATAAAAGACCTTACCACTGATCAACTATTGACCACTCTAACCACATCAAAACATGTGACACATAACACGAGGTCGATGCTCGAATTATCCTCTTGCACGTTTACGGGTTAGTTACAAATCAACTGCTTTTCTTTCATTTATTAACACGATATTATTTGGAAGAGCTAATACCGACCATTGGTGACATAACCGGCTCGAAGAGGAACCAATTTTCTTAATTTATATCAATCATTACCATAAACATTTTGGTCTATTATTCTAAAACCTACTTCTTTTGACTTTAATTATTCCAATATTTAATTTATTTTGACCAAATTTCCACGTGTTTTCAATGCTATTTTTCTTTTTCTTTTGTCTCATAAAATATTCAACCTTGTCTCATCTAACTAATATGCTTTAATTAAAATAATAATAATAATAAAGTTTCTAACTTTTCCATTTTAATATTTTAATCTCTAAACCCAATTATATAATTAAAAATATAGTTTTTATATTTATCATTTAAAATTATTGAAAAATCTACCATATGGACTAAATTGCTATAAATTAGGAATAAATTATGAATTTTTTTTTTCTTTCTTAACCAAATTAAATAAGTATATAAATTGAAGGATGAAAATATAATTTAAACGTAAATTATTATTATTATTATTATTATTTATCTTTTGTGATTATCCACGTGTGCAGCTATTTTCAGAATCTACGTGGTATAATTAAGCCAGTAATATGTTTCCACGTCAAACATTGTTGGAAGAATTGCTGAAAATGGTCAAAGTCAAACATTGTAATCACATTTGTCGTTGCTCTGTTACAAATTCACATTGCTTCTAAGAGTGGATTAGTGACGTAAGCAGATATGTCATGTGGTTGTAATTATTATTATTATTATTTTTTTGTCTCAATTCTTGCTCCGTTTGAGCTTTTAAATATTTAAAAGACTCAATAATCTAAAAAATTCGATTAATTCATTCAATTCACATAAATTGAATTTTTAGATCATATAGTTAAAATTTCATGAATTGAGTTTATTACGGTCTTAATTTTTTAAAATATACACACATAAATAAATAAATAATATATATATATTAATGTTTTACTTTTATTTTAAATAAATTATTCAAACAACCAGAGTTAATTTATTATTTAATAACAATTTTTTTTTTTAAAAAAAAAATTTACCAACAAAATTGAATCTAAAAATATTATAAACTCAATCCAGAAAATAATATAAAAATAATCATGGTAACAAATGAAGTTAAAACATCTAATTTAGTACAATATTTTGTTGACGTCGTATTATATATTTTTTTTTTATATTATGGGTTCTCGTTACTTTATTTTAAAAAAAATAAACCACTTTTTTTTTTTTTTTCCTTAAACTTATTATCAATTTTTCTAAACTTTTAATTATTTAAAATTAGATCTAAAACTTAGATTCGTGTAACAATGTTAATGTAAAACCTTAAAAAGTGTTACAATTTAGGCTATTTAAGTCAAATGGGGTTGAATATTGATACCCTTCTTGTCATTGTCAATTAAAGAGGTCTGTTGGCTTGAAAAATAAAAAAATGGTAATACATTTCTTTTTTTCTTTTTATCCGCTTTGTTCTATTATGAAAAATATGAAAATTTCCAGCAGAGTGTAAACATTGTCCGAACCCATTGAAAAGATTTATATTTGTTAGGTCTAAATTGCGTAGGGTGTACAAACAAACCTCCCCCTATTTCAATGTTATTATTCTGTCTCTTTCTTATGTTCGGTATCAAAGCCACTCGAAGTCGAATGCCTCACCCGCACCTACTTCGTCGCACCAACTCCCTCAAACACAAGGGAGCGGGCACTGCTCTCAGCCTGTTGTAACACCAAAACGAAACTACATACCGGAAGATCATTCATTACCTTATTTCTAGAACAGAATATAGACATTGGTACAACAGGGGGTTCGAGAGACCTTGAGCGACACATCGTAATTTATGCTAACCTCAGCGTACCATCGTGATTGCTAAAAAAGAATGATACATTTGTGAATGCGTTATCATACATAATGCTAATGGAAATCAGTCAGAGATTACAATTTCTGTTTTCCAACGTCCCCTTAATCCTAATCAAACATGCTTGAGTCTGCACATCTCATGTGACAAAGAGCGAAAGGGCCTAATAAAAAGAGATTTTACAGCTTTCTTGTAAAAATAGGCTGATGCTAAAATTTAATCCTGAAACTTATGCACTTGAATTCAACAATTGACGACTATCAACATTAATGAGCATGTAAGTAATTGTAGAATTACCGGGCTTTAAAAGAGACGTACTAATGATTGTCTTCTTTAGCCCGAAAAGAATCGCCTCCACGACTGCCATGGCAAAAAACCACCTGCCAAACCTATAAATGTCAAGAGGGGGGAAGAAGAAGAAGAAGCTTGCTAACATAATACTCCGTTAGGAACCATGACTCTCTACAATGATATGATATTGTCCACTTTGAGAATAAACTCTCTTGGTTTTACTTTTGGTTTCCCCAAAAGGCCTCATACCAATGAAGATGGTATTCCTTTACTTATAAACCCATAATCAATCCCTTAATTAGTCGGTGTGGGACTCCTCTCCTAACAATCCTCAACATACTCTACCTATTAAAGACCTATACCCCAACCTAGAGTAGCTAGGTGGGGAAGTAAAATTAATCCTTGTTCATACATGGGCTTCTCAGGTACGAAATGAGCCACTTCGAATAGGTTCATTGCTCCGGCCTAGAATACGATTAATCCGGCATGGGCTACATGAGCCCCCAATAGTTTACCGGATAAATTGATAAGTCTTAAAATTTGGTTGTTCTTGTTTATTCCCCCATAAAATTTAGTTTATTTGTGTTTTTTCCCCTTCTTGTTTAAACATTTTCAATCTAGTTTAAAATTGGTTCATGATAAGCTGGCTATATTCCATTAGGCCAATAAATAAGATAGGAAAACCCAAAATTTCTGGCAAAAGTTTAGGGGAATTTTAATAAAACCAAGCCAAATTTGTTCGAGGTGGCTTCCTATCAAACAATATTAACATTCTCTCAAGCAAATGATAGGGTTAAAAGATATTATAATCTAAGAGACTAAATTCAGCAACAGAGTTATCACTATATCCTGAAAATGTTCATAGAAACACTTCAAAAACATCGAACAAAAGTACTCAGATATGGAAGAATTAATACCGCATTCAGGGCAACGGAAGTAGTCTTTGTCCATCAAAACAAGCCCCGAACCACCACATTCTTTACATCTCTTCTGAGCCACCTGCCAGTTTCATTCCCAAAGCTAAGAAAAAGAACCAAAAAAAACAAGACAAAACACAAGTAATTCCAAATCCCTAAACTCACAATCCTCTTGCTGAACTCGATTCCGGCCACCACGAACGGGGTCACTCCAGCTACAACCAAAATCGCCATCCATCAACCAGATTTAGATAAAAACAATCAAACATGAAAATCATTGATTCATATTACCAATCGCTCCCACGACAATCTGCCAAGTGATTTCAACCTGAGTGGGATCGGCTGCTGCTGCTGCAAGCGAAGCGCCATCAATGGCCGCAAACGTGGGCGTTCGTCTCCGCTTATTGAGCGAATTTGAACGCAGATTGAGGGGGAAAGGAGAAACAGGACGAGGGCTGGTATTGGCTGTGGGAGGGAATCGGAAGGGAGAGGTAGAAATTGGGAGCAAGGCTTCCATGGTTCGGTTGGAGAAAGGAGGGAAAATTAAGGGAATAAAAGAGGAAATAGTTTGTTGATCTGTTTGGGACACGTTGCATTTACCAGCCAACCACCAACTTCACCTGTGGTGTCAAGCCCGCCCCCCTATTACCCGACACTTCTTAAAAATTATTTATTCACGAAGGGGTTTGCTACCTCATCCATTCACAAAGGGGTTCGTCATCGATCTCCGCAACATATTGCGAGATTATGAGATCAAGCACGGGCAGCAATCACAGGCTACTCGACTTCTGCGTTCAACATAGACTTCACAAAAGGGTTCGACATCGATCTTTTCAACATATTTTCAGATCATGAGAAAGAATATCATTGCCTATTACTGACGATCTTTTCAACATATTTTCAGATCATGAGAAAGAATATCATTGCCTATTACTGACGATCTTTTCAACATATTTTCAGATCATGAGAAAGAATATCATTGCCTATTACCGACCTCTTTCACACTTTCAACGCAGTTCCATTCAACAAATAAGATTAGAGAAACAATAAACAATAAATATTAACTCATCGACTTATTCATTGCATGAAGATTCCAATAACATTTCACAATCTTTTCAAAAGACGTGGTTTCTTACACCTACCAAACAAAAAAAAAAAAAAAAAAAAAAAAAAAAACTTCAAAATCCTATCTTTCTATCCCTAAACACCAAACTTGGGTTCTTTTGTAACCTGAAATTATTCTGAGAAATAAGAAACCTTAGAATCTTCATGCGTGATAACTATGTTCGTACATAAGCTGTCATGATTGAACTGGTAGCGAAGAAGATTACTGTCGTGAATGAATGAAACGAATGAATGAATGAATGAAATGAAATGAATGAGAAACAGCAGTTCTTTTTATGCTTCCTTCCTTCTGTAAGTAAAGCTGGTTTGATAATCCTACGTGAGTGTGTGAATGTGTCACTTCCATCCTACATGCTACTTGCTGTTGGAGATTCAAATGGGCTCTCTGGTAGATTATATCCTTCACTGCCATCATCAACAACAACAAACAAACCTCAAGATTCTTAGCCATTTCCCATGAAAATCTATGCTTTTTTTGTTCTTTTTTTGTACCTTTCAAGGTCGATGACAAGGTGATTCCAGTCAGCCTCGGCTGGCTTATTATTATGACCACTAGAGCCGGCACCCGCACCAGCACTGGCACTGGCACCGGCACCGGCACCGGCGCCAGTTTTCAGAGCATCCAACAGATTATCTAACCTTTCTGCAATTGGGAAACTGAAATGATCTGCACATGTGAAACTGAATTGTTAACGAGAGGAATTCGAAGGAGTTGGTTTCAAACAGAAAGCTAATCAACCTTCTGGAACATCGAGTTGCTTCATCTGATAGCTGAAGTATGGCTGATTCATTACAGATTTAACCATTAAATTCATCTCTGAAAGCCTCCTTTCAACTTCGTATGCCTGCTGTTGCTGTTGTTGTTGCTGCTGCTGCTGGTGCTGCTGGTGCTGCTGGTGCTGCTGCTGCTGCTGGTGCTGCTGCTGCTGCTGTTCGATCCTGAGGCTGAACATTCTGGAGTCCTCATAGCCTGAATCATTGAATATAAACCAGACATCCAACAAATAGGAAATGAGAACGTGGGTATCCGATTCGGTTCTGAACACTTACTTGAGTGAAGCTGCTCAGTTTCGAGACTGTTGTTATAGTATGAAGCATAATATAGCTTTTGCTGTTCTATTTTCTCTTGGTTCCTCCTGAATCAAAATAAGAATCAAAACAAGTAGTTCAAGCCAATCTGGTCGGACTAAACAAACAAAGTATTAACCTGTCCAGCTTCGACTTTTCTCTGTAAGGCTTCACGAGAACCCGAGCGCCACAAATTAAATGCTCATTGTCCTGTGACAAGATTAGATTTACAGTTTCGATATTGTAAAAGGTCACGAACCCAAACATCCTCTTTTGTTGGCATGGGATCCTTACATCTTCAACCAATCCATACTGGTCACTACACAAGATATGTGCAACAGTTAGAAGCCAAGAGAATGCCAATAAATTGTATCAAGGGAAGGTCTAAACAAGGCATTTACCTGAAGTAATCAGAAACATCATCTTCAGTGAAGTTGCTGTCAGCTGGAAATGTCAGATATATCTGTCGTGCGCTGCTAACGATTGGACCATGTGGACCATGGTCGTTCTTCTCGGTTCGATGATCTATGAATCTTGGAGCATCTTCTGCCAAAATGACTGCATGCTGCCCATGAGGCCTGAATGACATTCAAACCAAAGTTCAACATATAGATACCTCACTAAAATCAGAAGCTTGATTTGGTATCTTAAAACCAAAACTGATACCGACCTGTCGATCACCTGAATGCTTTTCAATCGAGTGAGAAGCTTCGTCAAGCTAAAGCCTGATTTACCATGCCTCTGACTCTCAGTCAGGTATCCTTCTGCTTGAAGAACTTTACCATAATTTTCATAGTAAATCATTGGCAGTGAAGCAATTGAAATAGGATTACCCCTCCTTGATTTAAGAAGCTCAACGATTTCAAACTCCAACTTCTCAAGTGAACCAGGCCGAAAAACATGATCTTCATTGACAGAATTTCCATTATACACCTGAGAAACGCTCTCGAATATGGGGTTAGTATGGAGATACCTACAACCATATCCATGCTTGCAATATCCTTTGTTGTAGTAGTGGCATATCTTCGGATGATACTCAGGCACAGTCGAGTAATGGCGGGCAGTAGTCCTAGTACTCAAGTTGTTGACAAGTCCAGCATGATCAACATAGCTACAATCATAGCCAGAGAGGCCAGAGTTTGGTGGTTCAACATGATCATCTAAACTAAAGAACTGAGCTGGATTTTGGAGTTCATACATAGAATCAGTGTAGCTCAATGTTATGAAATCGGGAGTAGGTTTGTCAGTCAGCTGTTGGGGAGTTGAAGGGGAAGATGGAAAGAGCCTGTTTCGGGACAAGGCAAAAGGAACGAAACCCCCCATGGAAAGGGACGTGGACAGGGGCGGGGATGGGGGTGGGGGCGAGGGCAAGGCCAGGGGCGTGTCCGGGGTCAACATAGAGAGCGGCATCGATCTAAGAGCTATTAAATGCAGCTCAGTCTTGACTAAGTGAACAACCTGAAGCATATAGTGGTCAGGCCCTAGCGCCAAACGAGCCATTTCTTGATCACCATGATCATGAAGAAGTAAAAAACCAATGATCTTCCTAACATTCTCAGGATCTATTCTACTGATCCGATTGTGTACGATTCTCGTGCACTCAGAAAACTCCGAAAATTCCATATGCATTTGGACACTATAATCAAACATAAAAATGCAAGTGAATTCAAGCAAATTCATCATACTTCAACCAAACACAACAACATAAATGAATCCAAGAACCCTAACTTATCAAAATCAAGAAAAAAGAACCATTACAAATTCAGAGAACTAAACAAATTCCACCCTCTTCTTCTTCTTCATCAGTGCACTATTCTCTCAATAAAACCTTCAGTTTTTGAAGAAAAAAAACGAAAAATAGAAAGAATTTTAAGAAATCCATTTCAAGAAACACGTAGATTAAGAATCTAAGCAAAAATGAACTCAGGTTTAGATGAAGAAACCTTCAAAGATCATCATATTTCTTTCAGACAAATAAATTTTCTAGAATCAAGGCAAAAAAAAAAAAAAAACAGAAGAAAATCCACGAAACAAACCAAACCAATCCATAAATGCATGAAAAATAACAGAAATGAAATGATCGAAATCCACTTACAGCTTTTTTTGCATTTTCTTTTGAATGAAGCCAGCTTGAATCTGGAAATTTCATCGTGCTTTGCTTTCGTTTTATACTCGGAACTACAGCCAGGTCTTCCAAATTCAGTGAATTCAGCCAACAACTTCTGCTTGAATGTCGAACTGCAGAGTAACTGAAATGAGATTTTTTCTTTTTGTACAAAGAAGACTCAATTACAGATATACCCTTTAAACCAAATTTTGAATTCAATAATTTAAAAGTAAATAAATTCGGAAAAATTAAGAGATCAAATAAAACCACACATTATTGTTCGTGGTCTCATGTTTTTTTTTTAAATAAAAAAATTAAGTTTAAATTAGAGGGGTAAAATGGGGATAATGAAAATGTTGAAGTTAGAGGGAGAGAGAGTAGGAAGGTGGGCTATTCAAAAGGCTTGAAGGGAGGGAATTTTGAAGTCAAATATTTTAGAAATAAAATATCTTTATTTTTTTAATGAATAATTATAAATTTATTATTTTTTCTCTTTAGAAAATATAAATTTATGTTTGGTCTTGAATATATTATTTGTTACTTATAATAAATTTGATATTAAATATCAAATATGAAAACAATAAGTTTTTTTTTTTTTTTTCATGTCCCGGCTCGCTCTAAACTTATCGCTTCAATTGTGTAACAAGACGTCCACACGATTATGAGTCTACTTTCATAAAGCCTCTCCGACGACACTAGCCTACGATTTTTTTTCTTTCACTAGCCATGGCTTGACCAAACTTTTGACTCTGATACCACTTGTCGAGCTGTCAAGTCTATCAGACCCACAAATCGAATCTCATATTTCATTAACGAACAATCATTTATATAATCTTAATTGACGAACTAATGAGTGAATTCACCCTAATAACTTTAGAGCCCGAAAAATTGATGTATATTTGAATTATAGGGACTAATAACCGATGATATGGTCGATTAAGAAGTGATCATTGAAACGAGAGAACGGTATTATGGGCCGAAACATCAAAGGCCGAAACATAAAAGAAAAATAAAACAAAATTCGACCGTTGGAATGAGGAAATATATCCGTTGAAGACTCACATTGATCTCCCATCCGTCCTTAACAAACCCTTTAAATCTCACTCCAAGAACATCCCTTCAAACACTCTAACAAAATCCTAATCTCGACTTCTCCGATCGTCGCCCATGGCCGAAGCCAAAGATTCGGGTGCCCACATGGTCGAAATCCTAGACGAACAAGATAACCAAAATCGGTATCGAAACCTTATGATCTCTGTAATCCAAGAGCATCCATTGAGCCAAATTTAAGAAAGCTCAGGTCATCTATTGCTCTTAAAACTCTGGCAGCGAGACGAGCATTTGTTCGGCCTCCGAATCGGTCACCGAGAGACCAAATTGGAGTGTCTCAAGCAACAAATCTTCCAACTTTGCTGCTACTTCTTCCTCTTCAATGTCCTGTCTCTGACGCTGATGTTCACTTCCTATAATCCCAATGGGTGTCACAAATGGTGGGGTCCGGCGGTGTCGGTGGCGGCGACGTCGGTCGTGTTTGTGATGGCGGTGCAGGTGAAATTGTGGGGGTATTGGAAGGCAGCAGGGGAGTTGCAGAGGGAGAGGATGAAGAACAGAGCAGTTATAAGATGTGTTCAAGAGTTGAGGATGAAGAGCTCAAGTGTGGAGATTAAATGGGGGCCTCTTACTTGCCTCTCACGGAATTTCATTACTATCTCTCTTCTTTGCTTTTCGGGCCTTGTTTTTAGTTCATTCTTTGTGGCTTTTAGTAAGGGAAACGCTCCGTTTTTGCATAATGATCGATGATCGTTGTATGTACGACTTGGAGGGAGATCTTTCACGGGGTATTTCTGTTTAGGTGCAAGTAGTCCGCATCTTCACAGACATGTCTATTTCACCGAGCCTCTCTCTAAGATAGTGCCCAGATCATTACACCTTTCATGCGGATCGAAACTTAGATGACAGGAAGTTTAGATACCTTAGAACCGTTAATTACAAATTATGAGTCTAAGTGTGTTGTAAATTAACACTTCGATGGTTGGAATTGCCCATATGCAACTTTGTTGCTAATGATGTTTCTTTTCTCAAATTTACACATTGTTAGTTTATTTTACCATAAAAAGTCAACATTGAGCGTTATTCAACTACACAAAAAGCACGTACTCTCAATAAAGATTGAATTCCTAGCTTTATATAGTAATAAAAAAAAACACATTAATGGCGAACATTATTGAACTTGGATAAGATAGATGTTCCTAGGAGGCATTATGTAGTTTAGATAGAGTATAATAGTCAAAACTCACCGCTAGTAAATGTTGTCTTCTTCGGGCTTTTCTTTTCGAGTTTCACTCGAGGTTTTTAAAACGCACACTAGGAAGCATTTTCCACACTATTCTTATAAAGAATGCTTCGTTTCCTTCTCCAACCGATGTTGGGATCTTACAATCCACTACCTTCGAGACCAGTGTTCTCGCTGGCATTCATTTCCCTCTCCAGTTGATGTGGGATCTCACAATCCACCCCCTTTCGAGGCCCAGCATCCTCACTGGCATGCCGCCCGATGTCCACCCAAGACTCAGCATCTTTGCTGGCACACCGCCTATCATTTGTAACAACTCAAACCCGCCACTAGCAATGGTCCTCTTTGAGCTTTCCCTTTCAAACGTTTATAAAAACGCATCTATTAGATAAAGGTTTCCACATCCTTATAAAGAATGTTTTGTCCCCCTCTCCAACCGACGTGAGATCTCATCTAGAGTCAATCTCCCAATGCAAGTAAGCATCATTGCTAGCTCAAATGATTGTTTTTCAGATCACAAAAGTACTTTGAACCTTCCAAGCGAAAAGAAGGAAAATCCTGAGTAACATAGCATACATGGAATTCAATACTAACCAGAAAAGAAGGAAATAAAGATAAGTTGATCCATGGTAGAATTCTATGGAGAATCTTAGTCGATCCATTTCTCATGCACTTTCAAACCCAAAGATCCTAAAAATACCTGCAACAACAAAATAAAGATAACACTTGTGAAGTCTTGAAACTAAAAGATCAGTGGGAAATATCGACGCATAGATAACTTGCCTTCATCAGCCTGATACTTATTCTTGTCATCCCCAGCATATGCAAGCAAATTGTGCTTTGGATTCCACTCCACACTATTCATAGCAGCCCGACAAGGAATCTGATGAACCGTTCGTCCCGATTGAACACTCGACTGTACGCAAAAGAAAAACACCGTTCATGAACCAGTTTTGCCACTATCCCTCAAGGAAGGGGGGATTCTACGCCTTCATAGAATGGATATTTAAAGAAAGGAGAGGCGCTAGAATGCTTACTATATCAATGAACAAGTCCTCACTAGCAGAAGCAATGTATTCTCCTGTGTGGTTGAAACTTATAGTTCGGACAGGCCATCTAAGAAAGTAAAAGAAGTGACAAGAAATACATTCTTCAGTGTTCAAAAAAGTCAGCTACATAATGCAGTGTCGTAACCCAAGCCACAAAGCTCCTGATGTGTTTCGATTGACAGGATAGAAATGGATGGAGACAAGAAGAAAACAAAATCATTGTATAAACCAAACAAAAAACTTACTCGAGTTTTGTAAATGTTCGCACGCAGAGCATCTGAGAGATATCCCATAGGCTAACTAATGAATCAGCACTTCCAACTGCAAAATACCTATGATGCAACAAGGAATTAATTTATCTTTCCCCATGGCTAATTGCAGAAGCAATTTTCTAAACGATCGAAACAAGCAATTGAAAGAATGGAACCGACAATCTTTCTAATAGAAGAAATCATGACTGCATATTGCATGCGAAAGTTGTACACAGTTCTTTTATCGTGGAAGATACGCTTAAGGTCAACTTTGAATCTCACCCTCCAACCGGGTCAATTGCAATGCAGTAACAACCAGCTGTGTGAGCCATAAGAGTTTCAATAGGTCGAAGTGACGGGTATGCTAGTACTTCAACGGTACCTGAGCACAAGACGTAGACATGAAAAAATTTTCAATAGAGTGAAATTAACAAAATCTCCTCAGTCATGGCATAAAAAGAAAGGGTCATAACTGCAGATCATCACCATTTCCAGTTGTCAGGAAAAACATTTCCCCAGTCATGTTCCAAGCAATTTCGTTCACCTGGAAAAGATAATATAAAATTATGTCAATATAGATAATCAAAGTAAAACAAACATGTCTGCCAAAAGCAAAAGAGAGAGAAAAAAAAAACGAACTGAAACTGGAAAGAAAGGCGGTAGATACAAAGGGGTTGATTTATAATCTACTACATTTCAAGAGTACTGAGAAAGCTTAAGGGTTATTTAGAAAGTTCCCTATATGCACTAGAATATGGAACGCAAGCTAGGCACGTCTTCTCCCTTCACATAAGACTTGGCATATACTACTATAAATTCCCACCTGCACTAGTTACTAATTAACCCGACAAAAGGTCCATATTATGTCACACTATTTACAAGAACAGAGCAAAAACAGCCTCTAATAATATTGGACTTAAAATTTTGAAGGTAAGAAGACGATCATCAACATGTCAAAGCAGTCATATGCATGCTATTATGTCCTGTTGTGATTTGTTCAATTTCTTAATACACGATCCTCCTTTTAAGTTGTCATAAATGACCAATGGTTGAGTCATTGTTGTTGATTGTAGCATAAATGTTACCTCGTAATTGAACTTGCGCTTGTGAACTGGCTTAAACTTCCTAACATCTAGTATAGTGAGTTCATCATCCTGCAAAATGACAAATCTAAATTAGTCAAGTAGTTAGACAGGGATATAAACATCTTGCAGAGTACATTAAAGCAAACTAAATTGTTTTTATGATGCAGAAATTTCACTCTAGAACATACCCTATTCCCAACAGCTATGTGCGTCCCATCAGGCTTGTAGGTGATGTTTATATTCTCCCCACTCAGCTCAGCTTGCTGTGAGCATTTCCCATCTATGGAACAGAATCAGAAATTATGAGCCATATTCTAAACATCAATTACATCAGTTACTTCACAAATCTCAGTTTCAAACACTTACTACGAGCATCCCATAGTCGAACAGTCTTGTCACCAGAGGCGGTTGCTATAAGATCAGAATGTTTAGGATCCCAACATAGCTGATCTACACTATCAGTATGCCCTTTCAACTCGACATCCTTAACCTTACCCTGAAGCAAACATCATCTGACATGATTGAAATGATTTGTTCAGGGTTGAAAGTAAATAGATACAAACAAGACAACACTAAACCCTGTGGTGGAACAGCACCATACCAAAATCATAGAATTCATTCAAAACAGGTCTTGGGAGGTAGCAAACGCAACACACTCTCACGAGTACACATGGCGAGAGAATTAAGCAAATTGCATTCCGCTTATTGCAGAACTTAAAAATAAGGAAAATGAAAGAGCTTATGAAACAGTAATTAGTCTACTAATACAATTACAACCGAAGCTTTCCCAAACTTAACTAGTCTACTAGTACAATTCAGAGCCAAGAAGGATCATTCTCTCTCCTTTTTATAGAACTCAAGGATACGGTCGAACAACATATAGAACATATCCCGTTCGATGAAGATCATTAGCTTATTCTATTTCCTTAATAACTAAATATCTTGTTGTCCCTCGAAATTGGCCTTGTAGTGGTTAAAACCTCGAAGGTAGGCCATGAGCATGGAGCTCACATACCCAGTTTATGTGCACATATATATATATACACACACAAATATATACAAATATTAAAGTTCTTTCCATAACTTCATTCACATAATCAACTATAGGAAATGCAGCTAAACTTTATCAGCCTAGAAAAGTTGAGCAAGAGATGGGAAATGTTAGCATTCGTGCTAGGTAGTAGAAACTCCAAAACATTACCTGGGAAACAGATAAATGTGTATATGTTTATCATATCAGGCGTAGGAAAAGAAACCCATAGAAGAATTCAATATAACACTTAAGCTCGAATCAACTACTTACAGTACCCAAAACAAAAAAAGGAAGGAAAAAAAAAACCCTATTCAATCAATTTGAGAACAAGATTCAAGATTCCACAACAGAAACAATGAATTGGGAAGACCCTAGAACAAAAAAATAAAAAAACAAGTGTGATAGAAGGCATACATGTCCATGAGGCTCAATATGCCAAACTCGAGCAGTTTGATCGACAGAACCGGAAGCAAGCTTCATACCAGTGCAATTCCATGCCACAGAATGTACCTTTCGCAGTTACAAGAAAAGATGAATTTAAGATCAAAACGAAAGATGAAATCGCCACAGAGAAGAACAGCACGAAGGAAGAGATTTGATAAAAACCTTCTTCTTGTGACCTTGATACTCTCTGCTGTAAAGATTCTTAAAAGCCGGCGTCGATTCCTCCATGTCCGCCTGGAATTCAACGAGTTCCAATCCGGCGATTATAGGGATTTTTGTTCCATGCGAACATCCACTTTTTATGTGGGGGATTAATCACCCTTGCAAGAATTCAATACTTAATTTTAATATTAAAAAAATTAATTTTTATAAAAAAAAAAAAATTATAATTTGAACTCTTCCATTAAAATCTTAAACAAATAATTATATCAATTAAAAAAATTTAGATTTAATCATTTTTTCTATAAATTTCAATCGAAAGTTATAGACGTGTAATGCTCGTAACATAAAAAATAGGGAAATTTCTACTTTGACGAAGATTCAGTAACTGTGTTTGATTAGTACTGAACGAAGGAAAATAATTGATTTGGTAGTTGAGTAAATTAGGTTAGCACGTGTTGACGTTGAGCACGAATATACACAACAAACAAGCCAAGTTTCAAAGAACCGTGAAAAAACATGTTCATATATTAAAAGTTGAAAGAATAATGAAATGAAATAATATAACAAGACAAATTCAAGAGCGTTCAAACCAAACACGGTGAAAAAGTGTATGCAAATGTAAAGATAAAGCTGCATAAGAATGCAATGACGGTATTATAAACTACGACGTCAATTGGTCGTCTGTCAAAGGAAGAAGACGAGGTTATTAGGCTCGACTCCCTTCTAAAAAAAAACCCGATATTTTTACTACGATGAGGTTCTTCTAGGTATGATCATGCTTGATGAATTCCGAGTGGTGTTCTTGCCAATTGTCAGATAGCTCAATCTCATCCTTTATCTCTATTGTTGCAATCAAATATAAAAATATGCTAAAATAAATAAACATTGTAAAACAAAAAAAATTATGAATTTAAAAAAATGTCTAATAAATTTTTAAACTTTTAATTATAAATTTAAAATTTAAAATTAAAAAAAAAAAAAAAAAAAAAAACCTTGAATACACGTGGATCATGTCGCGCATTGTTCCGATTTTCTCCAAAAGATTGGGAATATAATATACAATAATCTCCAAAAGGCCATTTATCTGTCAAGGTTTCTCATCTGGTGGCGTTCACTTCTCACGTGTCAACCGACGCCTCCGCCACCGCCACCGCCACCGCCACCGCCACCGCCACCGCCCACATCCGAAGTCATCTCTGGCCGATTGAGCTAAGTATCAATCCCATCAGAATACCCGAAACCCCCAAATCTTTTACCCCATTTATGCAATGGAATATCATAATTTGACGAATTTGGCTCTCAACCCTCTTCACTGCCTTTAGCATAGACTCCAAATTTGTTCTTATTTTTCAATTTGCCGATGGCTACGTTGCTGAAGAAAGTATGGGAATCGGTGTCCACCCGCTCCGTATTGAGCTTGGAGATGTCGTCTAGTGATCATCGGGGATTTGATGAGTCGTCGTTGGGTGAATTCGATCGGATTCCGATGGATATTCTGATGAACATACTTAAATTAAGTGGCCCCAAAAGCGCGGCAAAGATGGGTATGCTTTGTAAGTCTTGGAGATCTCTTGTTTCTGATAATGGGCTTTGGGTTTTTTTCCTTCAAAACCAGTTGGTGGAGCCTTGGGATTCTATTTTGTTTGGAGAAACTAAGTTGGCTTTGGGGTACCCTCTTGAGTAAGTTTGGATATCTCTTCTCCCCTTGTGTCTTGTGGTTGTTCTTGGTGTAATTACCTTGTTTTTCATGATTATGAGTATGATTCTACTGGAAAAATGAATGTAATGTTGGTTGTTGTGATGTGTTATTAGAAGGTGTCACCATGTGTTTGTGTTTGCAGATCATTCTCTAGTCAGATGATGCCATTGTCATTCATGGAAGTATATAGCAAACGGGTTGCGTTACCGGGATCTGTTATAATTGATGGTGAGTTTTCTGTTCTTGTCAAGGTATTCTATCTTCAGATGTGTTTATTATAGTGCACTGTAATCGATTCGTTTTCTTAAGAAAGCTCGGTTTATTTTCATGATATTGTGAGATCTCATATTGATTGGAGGGGGAATGAGGGTCAGTCAGGACGTTGGGCCCTGAAGGGGGTGGATTATGAGATCCCACGTTGGTTGGAGAGGGGAACAAGGGCCAGCGAGGATGTTGGGCCCTGAAGGGGGTGAATTGTGAGATCCCACATCGATTGGAGAGGGGAACGAGTGCCAGCGAGGACGCTGGGCCTTGAAATGGGGTGGATTGTGAGATCCCACATCGATTGGAGAGGGGAACGAGTGCCAGCGAGGACGTTGGGCCCTGAAGGGGGTGAATTGTGAGATCCCACATCGGTTGGAGAGGGGAATGAGTGCTAGCGAGGATGCTGGGCCCTAAAGGGGGTGGATTGTGAGATCCCACATCGATTGGAGAGGGGAACGAGTGCCAGCGAGAATGCTGGGCCTCGAAGGGGGTGGATTCTGAGATCCCACATCGGTTGGAGAGGGGAACGAGTGCCAGCGACGCAAGGCCCTGAAGGGGGTGGATTGTGAGATCTCACATCGGTTGGAGAGAGGAATGAGTGCCAGCGACGTTAGGCATTAAAGGGGTGGATTGTGAGATCCCACATCGGTTGGAGAGGGGAATGAGTGCCAGCGAGGACGCTGGGCCTCAAAGGGGGTCGGTTGTGAGATCCCCCATATCGGTTGGAGAGGGGAATGAAGCATTCTTTATAAGGCTCTGGAAACCTCTTCCTAACTTGTTTTAAAAACCTTGAGGAGAAGCCCGAAAGGGAAAGCCCAAACATGACAATATCTGTTACCTTAATCAAAGATTTCTTCAACATACACTATTACTGTAAGATAAACATACGAACATACACTAGTTGTTCGTAAAGGTTGACGTCTTCTTGATGTCCTCTTCAAATTTTGAAGTTGTAGAATTGGATGTTAATCCACTCTTACTATCTCGTGTTTGTTCTTGAGAAGGTGGCTCTGGCTATTGCAAATTCGGTTGGAGCAAATACGATTGTCCCTCGGGGCGTTCTGCAACATTTTTGGTATGTCGGTCTTGTTTATTTCAAAGCCCGACCATTTCGAATATCGCCCATAGCTGCTAAACATGTTTAATTGCTGCCCTTCTATTAAGTCCAATCATTGGAATCTTTTGTTTTGTCTACAGGAATTTGGGAACATCGAATCTCCCATGTATTCTCGACTTCGACACTTTTTTGCTACTATTTACGGCAGGCCTGTCCTTCTCTTTTTCTTTTCTTTAGCTAATAATTTACACTCTCCCTCTCACTGACACACCCGTTGCATCTAATTTTAGGATGCGAGTTAAAACGTCTCTCCATCCAGTCGTAGTGTCGGTGCCCCTCTGCCATTATGACGGTCAGCTTCTTATTCTAACTAAGCAATTGTTATGGTGCTTTTCGAGATACACGTCCATGATTCTTTTCTTCTTCAGATACCGAATCTGCCAAAGCTTCAAGACAGCAGCTCAAAGAGGCCATCCACTCAGTGTTATTTGACATGAACGTCCCTTCTGTTTGTGCCGTTAATCAGGTTTTTTGCTTCGGATATATCCTTTTCTTTACTCTTTTCCTTCTCGCCTTTTCGCTTTTTTAACGACTGTTATGAGTACAAGTCAATATAAAAAGTCCTTCATATCTATTTATATGTACTTTTCTTTCGTTCTCCACTCCGTCTCCCTAGTGGGTTGCTTAGGCTTGAAGGAAAGAGATCGAGAACTTTCATCACGATCATTTTCTATAATTACATGCACTTTCTACTTTTTCATGTGTAGGCAACACTAGCTTTGTATGCTGCAAGAAGAACTTCGGGAATTGTTGTTAATATCGGGTTCCAGGTTACTTCAATCGTCCCAAGTAAGCTAACGTATTTTTTATGATCTTTCAACTTTAAGCTAACGTGTATTAATCAAGCGGTTTGAAGAAGCAAATCGTAATGGCTCACATATATTCGAACCCCTCTTTGTAGGCTTAGGGACTTCTCGTCACTAAGGCCTCGAGGCTGTTCCTTCCTTTTTTTTTGAATATATTGACTAAGTTTCTCGTAGAAGGAAAAACGTCATATCATTAGGACGTCCCTAAATTAATAAGGAACTAAAAAGACCGAGTGTGCGAAAACCAGCTCTTGAATCTACCGAACTAAAACCGCTGCCACCACTGGGATGTTGTTGGCTTGTAGATTAGGCCATGCTATTGCAAGGAACGAAACCGCTTGTGCCGTTGCTTTGTTCAAAAAAGCGCTGGCGTATAGGCTTGTTTGCATGCTGACTGGAAGGTGGAACGGCTAAAGGAAATATTGGGATCACACACATGGGTCGTTAAACCAGAGAGGAAATTGTGTGGACTGGAGCCTGTCGGAGACGAAGGAGATATCGTGGAAGCTTGTCGGCGACAGGGTAAGCCACTGGTGACGTGAAAACGAAGAACGAGGATGATGGTGTTGTGGGTGTGTGGGCAGCGAGGTTAACGGACAGAGAGGAAAAGAGTGAGGTTGAAGAGCACCAATAGGCAGCTGAAGCACATTATTGTTGTCTGAATCGGGAAACGCCTTATGATACTAACTGGACCGAGCCTCAAGAAACGAACGGAAAACTAGTTTTAGGAATTTTTACTTTCTGATAAGTTATGCAACTAATCGACCTGCTGCATCGAAACAAAATTTTCATGTTTTCTTATTCTTTTCGTAAACTTTTGTAGTTTTACATGGAAAAGTAATGCGGAAAGTTGGGGTCGAAGTCGTGGGACTGGGAGCTTTAAAGCTTACAGGGCACCTTCGAGAGCTGATGCAACAGAATAATATACGTTTTGAATCAATGTACACCGTTCGAGCATTGAAAGAGGTACGTTAAAGCTTTCATTTCTGAGATTTATGTCGATAAACCATTTCGGTTTTCATGAAATAGGTGTACAAAAAAACATCTCCAATGGGACATGAGAGTAATTAAAATAGGATTTGAAGCTAGAAAACATATCCCGATGGGAACATCGTTCGTGTCTACGAAATATATCCTTTCTAAGTGTTTCGATTATACGTTGCATCACATCATTTGTTTAAAGAAAAAATATGGAGTGAGAGATCACGGGCAAAGGCACGAGGATGGTATCTAATGGTCGTTAATTTTAACGCAGAATCTGTGTTATGTTGCTCAAGACTA